GATGTTTTGTAACGAAAGAAGGGGAGTGACTGATTTTGCAGTCCAGGAGCGGAGGTCCCTGGGACCATCAAGTTAGAAAAGTGGAGTGCGGGACCCTACCAAGAGAAGCAGTGATACCAGAAATAGAGGCAGAGACAATGACATGGGCAGATAGAGTGGCTGGGAGCGCTGGACTCAGGGAGGGAGAGGGGCTGTGTGCTGACAGCCAGGGAGCAGGCCTGTGAGGTGTATCCTTTGGTTGGTTGATGATACATGGAGGGGACTGTAATCTTTGCAATGAAATGAAATACGATAGGATGAATGTAAAACTGATGTTCTCCCATGCAAACCCATATAATTCACAATAAAAACTTTAAAAAACTGTAAACAGATAATTTATGTAATAAAAAAAAATGCAGATTAAGTCAAAGGAAACAAATCTTATCATCCAGATGCAACCATTCTGAAGACATGCTGTATGTCCTGTTCAAGAACATTTCCCATGTAAATCCACAGAAATGTACAATTCCATCTTTTATTTTAATGAAAATGGTAAAATATAATACATTATTGTTGTCATTGTTAGGTACTGTCAAATGGGTTCGGACTCATAACAACCCTGTATCAGGTTTCTGAGGAGCAGTTGGTAGGTTTGAACTGCCCACATTTCCATTAGCAGTCTAGTGCTTATTCTACACAGCCACACCGGGGCTCCAATCTAGCACATTGCTACTGTTGTTAAGTATCATCAAGTGGGTTCCGACTAATAGTGACCCTGTATAGGATTTCCGAGGAATGGCTGGTGGGTTTGAACAGCCAGCCGTGCTATTAGAAGTCCAGTGCTGACCTTACAGTGCCACCCAGGACTCCCTATAATTTGATTTTCCATATAACAATGTATCATGTCCTTCATGCTTGCTGTTAACTGACCTGGACAACCAACCCGTGCAAACCACAGGTAAGTTTGCCTTCGCGGAAGCTCCAAGTCTGAGTTGTGCTTCGCCTGCGGTCAGGCTTTCTAAGCATCAGGGGTTCGTACCTGAAAAAGGAAAAGGAAACATGTTCTATGAGTCAAATAGTTCAGATCTAACTAAAATGATCAGGATCATGGCTTTTGCTCTTCTGCCTTGCAACACCCTCTTACACCCTTGAAAGCTAATGGGCAGTTTGCTTTAACCCTATGGCACTTAGGTGTCTATTAACAAGGAAAGAGGATATACTGTGGAAAGCACCAAGCAAGGTCACCAGGTGATACTGAGATGGTTACTGTTTTCTTCTTAGGTGCCATGGCATTTATTCTGACTCATAGCAACCCAGTGCACAACAAAACAAACACTGGTCAAGCCGGTACCATCCTCACAATTGTTATGTTTTAGTTCACACTGTTGTTGCCATGGTGTCAGTCCATGTCGTTTTTGCTGACACTCTACTTCACCAAGTAGGGTGTCCTTTACCAAGGACTAGAC